CCCCCAGTCAGGCAATGGTGCAACAGCTGCAGGCTTGGCCCTGGAGGTGCTCCTGGCCGAGAATGACAGAGACCACTGGCCAGTGACACGCTGGGTGGGTGCTGTGACAGGGATGTGGGGGGCAGCATGGGAACGAGTTTCTGCTTCCCTAATGGTGAGCCCGGGACACAGCTGTTCAGTCCCTCAAATCCAGAAAATGCAAAGAGATGGGCCACCTCCATTACGCAGGAAGGTCTCACACATCTCTCTGTGGGGGACACACGGACAGTGCAGCTTCGAGCTCACTGACCAGTCATTCTGAAGGAGCTGCCCCCCTGCACGCTGCCCAGCTCCACTCGAAGCCCCGCCCTGTCCTCTGCCAGAATGCCTGGCAGAGCCGTGATGCCCACCCGGAATCACACCAGGCGGGTCATGAAAAGCTGCGCCATTCTGGGAGACCGGGTGTGGGCACACCAGGGCTGAGAGGCCTTCTGTAAGCTCAGGCAGTACGCAGTAGGCAGGCCAACAGTTGGGCCCCACCTCTCACTCAAGGGGTCAAAAAACTGTCACCACCCAGAGGGGCAAAGCTTCAGAAACGGCAACGTTTCTTCCCAGTTTCCTGGAACGCAGAGCCTCAGTTTCCTCCTGTGGGTAGGCAGGACTGCTCCTCCCAGGAACCCCTCCTCTGAAGGGAACTCCGACCCACTGCTCTCTGGTGCCTTCTTTTAAAAATAATCTTCCTGCCTTTTCGATGAGCATCTGGCACACTAACTTAGGTTCTCAGTTAACACTTTCAAAGGCATCTCAGGGCAAACGTCTCAGCACGATCATTCCCTCTCACTAGTGCACCCTGTCTGGCAAGAAGCCCTGCTGGGGGGTCACGCCTGGGCCTCTGTCAGACCTGTCCCTGCTGTCTGTACCCATCCTCATAGCTGTACCTCAGGCTACGTTCCTCTTCCCCAGGCCCTAGGCTGGTTCTACCGTGGAGATTTTGGGCACTAACATTCCAGGTAACTGCCCGCTGGCTGGGAACAGGTCAGAGGAGACCTGGCCCTATCTGCTTGCTTGCCTGCTACAGGCCTCGTTAGTGCTTCACGGCCACCCACAGCATGCTGTCAGAAGGGACGGCCAACAAACAGCCGGGCCACCGACGTGCAAATGACCTCAATCTCAACCAGGCTCTGGTCCCCTCAAACTTCTCCAAGCCCAAGCCCTCCTCCAGCAAGCACCGCCGCCGAGGCCAGGACCACGCTGCACTCAGCACGGACCCCAGCCTCCAGAGATGCGGCCCTGTGGACGGAGTAGCAGAGGGCGTGTCCCCGCAGACCTCCGCACGGCGCTGGGCAGTGGCCGGGGCTCTTTGGGTGAGAGGTACCTCCTGGCCAGGTACCCCCCATGCACCTACCAAGGCTGTGTCCGTTCTTGGTGTAGAAGCAGGTGCCGTTGATGAGATTGACACAGCAGCCGATCACATCTCCTGTGGTGAACGTAGGGCCGTAGGGCTGGCCAGTCCCCGAGGAGCAGAAGGAATGACCATCATCACCATGGTAACCATAGGAATGTTTGTCCCAACCTGCAGGGGCAGATCAGCAAGAGCTGAGCAGAGGGACTAGAGAGGAAGCCCGGGGTGGGGTGGGGGTGGCTGAACGCCCCTCTCCTCAGCCTCAATGCAGGGCCGCCTGCCACCCACAGGGCTGGGTCTGGACGGAGTGCGGCAATCAGCCTGGTGATCAGCCCTGAGAATCGGAGGAGGCCCTCTGATGAGAGCTGTCAACTGGAGCCAGAGCTGTCAGGAACCTGGGCGGAAGACACGCAGGCAGGCGAGGCTTGAGCTGACCTCTCAAGTGCACCGTGTAGAGTTTGAAGAAAAGTTTCTTAAATTGAGGTGTACGGTTTACACACCAGAGAGTTCTCCCTTCCTGGGTGGACGTACGAGTCGATGGGTTCTGGTGAGTGATGCTGTGGGCGTTGTGACCACCTCTGCCATCAAGATACAGAATGTTTGCATCGCCCACCAAGAGTGTCCTCACATCCGAGAGGGTGGCCCTGCCCTGCTCGCCCCCTAGTCCTAGGGCCACACTGCTCAGATTGGCTCGTCCAGTGCTGCCTCTCCCACAATGAAACACGCACAGACCCAAGAATACAGTCCTTGGTCTCTGGCTTCTTTTGTTCGACATTCAGGTTCCCAAACTTCTTTGGCCTATTGTCCCCTTTTCTGGAGGTCAACCAAAAAAACACCCCCCAGCGGCCCCCCCAGCAATAAAAAACCCTGGTACTATAGCCCATAATCCAGGATAAGGTGTAGGCATCTGCTTTTGCAGTCCCCCCAGTACACGGATCAAGCACGGCCCCCCAGGGGGCAGTGTTGCCCACTCTGCGAAACACGGGGTTCCTCCCTGCTGGCTGTTTTGTGGGCCAGGATCTCATTCTTCCACCGATGGCCAGGATGCCACTAGTTAAACACACCAGTTTGTTGACACGACCACCAGTTGATGACATTGTTTGACTACTACTAACAGGACCAAGGCGTGTTTACCTGGAGGTCTGTGGGCTGAGGCTCTATTTCTCTCGGGTGAATTACGTACAGGGGGTATTGCTGGGTCACACGACAAGGAAATGTCTAACTTGATAGGAAACGGATGAGCTGTTGTCCACAGCAGGTCCCCCTCTGTGTCCTCCCTCGGCATGGGAGAGCCCAGGCTGTCACATCCGCACTAGAGGGCAGCTGTGGTGATCTCTGTTGAATTCTAGCACTTCTAGTAGGTAGGTCTGATTTTAAAAGCAGTGTTTTTTTTAAAACTATTTTTAACTATATCTCGTGGTTAGGATTTAAAAAATGAATCCCAGAAAAAAATGAAAACTTGTACTATAATAAAGAGTATGTTGTTTTATCAAATAAAACCATGCAACTTTGAAAACAAAACAAACAAAACAATCACTTTTCATTTGCCTCCGTCTTCACAAAGAGCAAGGGGCTGGTTTTTCTCTTGGTCAAATTGACTGTTGGCCCGTTTTTAATTCACCTTACTACTTGATCTTTAACAGGTTTTGTTTGTTTGTTTTTAGGTCCAAGTCCTTTGTCGGATACATATTTTGCAAATATTTTCCCTCATCTGTCCTTCCAGTTTCTTAACAGTGGCTTTTGATTGGCGTTATGTTGGATCTATAGATCAATTTGGAAATAAGAGGCAGCTTAACCATACAATCGCTCTAGATTCATAAATATGGCAGGTACCACCCACTATGTAGGTGCTACAATGTATTCTTTCGGTCCGTTTCAGCAGTAAGTTTGTCCCACGTTATTTTACTTTCTTTTTTTTAGTATTTTACTTTTTGTGCTGAGGAAATACTTGTAATTCTCAATGTCCAATCATTTGTTGCTCTTACGTTAAAATAGAAATGATTTTAAGCCTGAGGGAGTAGGGCCAAGGTTATTTTGGGGGTGATGACATGTTCTAAAATTAGATAATTGTCATGGTCGCACAATTCCATAAACATCCTCAAAACCACGGACTTGTACCCCCTCCGATGACATCTCAACGAAGCTAGTAAACTGTATGTACTGGTGTCTATACATCCTGCAACCTTGCTGGACGTGCCGATTGGTTCTGCAGCTGTGTGTGGAGACTCCCTGGGAGCACACGGCTTCGTTGCTTTCTACTCCTCTGTCTCCCCTTTCTGTCACCCGCCTCGCTGTGCCAAGGCCGGCCTCCACCACAGAGCTGTGGTGGGCGGCACTGTTTTGACAGGGCAAAGTGAAAGAGGGGTGGAAGTGAGGGCAAGGGGGTGGAATGTGAGGGATCAGGCTTCAGTGGGGGCCCCACCCGCCTGCCAAAAAACACCCAGGACTGGGAAGCAGCTTCCAACGCCAGGCAGCGTCTCCCGAGCAGGGCAGGGGGAGCTGGCCCCGACTTCCGGCTCCTGCCTGACTCCTGGGGGTCTGAGCAACATGTCCACATGCACACACTTCAAACCGCTTTCTTCAGGGTGTGGGGGGGAAACACTCTCCCCTGGGAAGAAAGGGCAGTGGGCAGGTTGTGGCCACAGGTGTTCCTCAGAAAGGTGGCAGGTGGCTTTGACTCACCCAGTCCACGTGGTGGGGAAAAGTGGGTGGGCTGTAAGCAAGCTAGGGTGACAATGGAAGGTGACCACCGGGTGCTTGTCACAACAGGAAGGAGACTAGGGACCTCTTCCACCAGGGCACACTCCTCCACCCAGTGCCATGAGGAACACTGCCAAGCAGGCAGCCTCGCTTCCTACATGGGGAGAACATAGTCCCTGACAAAGGCAGGGACTATGATGCTGGCCACAGTTCTCCACACAGAATCTCGGGACTCGGTGGGCGGCTGGCGGTCAGACACCATGCTTCCATGCCGGGGGGGCCACGGTGGGGCCCTCTCCTCAGGGTGATTCACCTCCAAAACTGCAAACCAGGCCTAAGCCAGAGAGCACGTGCGCATGCAGATGGCAGCGAGGGGCGCGGCCTTCAACGGGCTTCCTCGGGCTGCAGCTTGCTTTCTGGCCACAAGGCCACCATCCCACCCTCTGGAAAGGACAAGCGTCACCACCTGTTAACCACCCGCCCGCCAACCAGGGCCCACTGCCCGGGCAGGACTCACCCCACCTGTGGGCTGGGGAGGTGAGAGGAATGGAGACAACCAGGCAGCAGTACAGAGAAGCAGAGCGGCCACAAGGACACGTGAGGGCTCAGATGTGCTGTGAGCGGAGCCGGCAGAGGGCTAGACCCCGGGTGGCAACGGGACGGTTTGAACTGCGGTGGTCAGGAACCTCGGGGGGCCGAGCTGCAGTCCACTAGAGGGAAGGCCCTGAAGGAGGACCCTTCGGGGTAACGGGCGCCGGCCTGGCATTCTGAGGATCAGGCCGAGGCCGTGGGTGCTGCCAGGACAGGGAGGCCTCCCAGGGCTCTGCCCTGAGCAAGCAGGTGGAAGGGCCAGGCAGGTTGTACCAGGGGAGCAGGCTTTGCGGGCATGCCAAGCCTGCCATGTTTTATTAGGCAGTCACGTAGGCAGGTGGGGGGACGGCAGGTCTGCGGGCCCTGTGGCTGCGTCCACAGCAGCGAGGCCGTGACAGGATGCTCACAAAAGCAGCCGTGAGGTGGCCAGGACACTTAACATTGTGACGTCACTGCTGCGTGCCCGGCACAAGTTGTCCGTGTCCCCTCAGGAGAATAAGCAGGCTGCTCAGGGCCTCGAGAGGACAGAATAAGGCCCAGACAGACAGACGAGGGACACAAAGGGGTTCAGCTGTCCGGTCTTAGACGCCTTCTCTTTAGGCCTGGAGAGATGGCTGGCCGGCAGGTAGAGAGAAGCTGGGACACACCCCCCCCCCACCAGAGTCCAGTTGACCCCAAGTCTGCAGAGAAGGGGAGCATAGGAGGCCCCTTCTTCAGGGGATAACACTCACTTCTCTCAAGTGGGAGTTGCCAATCACAGTGACCTGCCCCCCAGGCGGGACCAGAGTTCCTCCCTCCCGGGATCGGGATCGGTCCCCAGGGAGCTGGCAGGAGAGCGGGTCTCAAGCATGGAGCTGTTGTCAGTGCTCTGTGTGCACGCACCAGGCCAGGCGGAGAGCGTGGCGCTGAGAAGCAGGAAGCCGCCTGATGGACTTCAAAGGTGTGTTTCCCTCCCTGACTAACAGCTGGCCCACAGCAGGGGCTCGAGACAGGCCTGCAGAGTGCACAGGGAGCCTAGGGTAAGGTGACCAGACGTCCCGCTTTTGGCGGGACAGTCCCAATTTTTGGAAAGAATGCACAAGCAGACAGGGTATACGGTTTTCGGATGCCATGTGGCTATTTCGCCAGGATATGAGTTTTATCAATGGTGTCCCGCTTTACCAATGTTAAAATCTGGCCCACGCAGGCCCATGGCCATGGCACACTGCGCCATGGGCTGGCAGCGGGCATCGGATCGCAGGCAGGGTTGGGAGGAGTGCTGCTGCCAGCGCTGTTTCATTTCAAGGAAAGCACGGTGATGCCACGGCGGGGAGGTCCGGCCTGGCCCGGGAAGGCCGCTTGCAGCCGGTCTGCCCCCGACGCATCACCTCACATCTGGGATCTTCCCTGGACCCCCGTTCTCCTCATTAGAAGCAGCCGGGTGATGCAATCAGCCCAGCCAGCTTTAAGAAGAATCCAGGGTTCCAAGTCCTCCTTCCATGTTCCTACAGTCTCTCCCACCCCTCCACTCTGGTCTGAGTGAGCCTCCTCTCCAGCCCACCCATCCCCACCCTGCCAGCCCCCCAGGAGGCAGAGCCAGTGGCTTCCCAGTCCCGGCCTGGAGCAGCATCGGGCACCCATCTCTGGAGGTGCCTGCCAGCAGAGCCCTCACCCTGGTCGGGGCCGGGGCCAGGGCCAGCTGTGGCAGAGGGTAGTGGGATGGGAGGGCACAGCTGCCTGGGTCAGGCCCCACAGGAAGTCAAGACCGGCTGGCTCTGGTCAGAGGATACTGGGGGCTGCCCGCTGATGCCAAGGCCTGGCAAAGAGTGACACCGAGTACAACCATTCCTTCCTCCCCAAAGAGCATTCGCCCTGTAATGAGCAGAGGGAACTGACTTGGT